TAGTGAGTCTTTCTACCGAACGCCCAGTCGTTCGGTAGTTTTAATGGGGTTTTACCGAAGGTATGGAGGATTCAGCGGTGTTCGCCTATTTGAGTGTACGTTTTCAGTTCCAGACACTCGACGGCAAACACCGCTGTTCGGGAGCTAAAATGGCCGTGAACATGAGGAAGTCCCGAAATGGCGGCGGTGCATACCGTTTGTGCAGAACTTTTGTCGAACATGCCCAGCAAGCAAGGAGGTAAAGTATGCATAATGGGCAACAGGGTGGTCTCGATTCAGTAGTTTTACCTACCGAATGCCATAGGGAAAGCTCACATAAAAAAAGGGAATACAAATTGTCAGTTTAAAGCAAAAGAGGGGAATTTATTCACAGAGTTTATATAGGGGAAAGTTTAATATAAAATTGGATCATACACTGTCATCCAATTAAAAAACATCACCATTCTATATATTATAAAAAGACAAACAGTGTTATATATTGATAGATATAGGGTTGTAGATCCCTACCGTTATATTTGATATTAAAAACAAGCATTGGGTGAGGAGTTTCGACTGTTTGAAGCCAGAGCATGTGACGTGCGTCACATGCATGGCTTGATTTCCCATTACACCTAGCGGCCAGGTAATGTAGTTTCCAGTGTAGAGATTGAGAGGTTGGCAGAAAAATGGCATTTGCCAACCTTGAAATGATGATGAAAATTACAGCATGGGGCACTGATAGCAGCCACATTAAAAAATGTGTTTAATGGTGGGAAAAGTAATTTAAATAGAGTTAGTATAAGAGACACAGTGCCATCTTGGTAGGGGAAGTAGTAGTAGCAAATAACTATTGCAGGGGGTGTAGGTTAGGTGGCCATGCTGGGTGGGAAAAAAGCATCCCTAATGTAAAAATATAACAATAGTGGCTGTACATAAAAGTGAATATTATGGATAAGAAATTATAATTATTAGTGAGATAAACAGTAAAAGGATAAAAAGAACATATACTTAAAATAAGGATATAACAAATAAGGAAAATCTTAGGAAGAGGTGGTTATTGTAAGGGTGTTCTAGATTATAATGCCGTAAGTAAAAACAACTATAATTAGAATAGCCCTAAGATAACAACAGGGTATACTTAAGGGGGGTTATTAAAACTTAAAAGGGTATGAGATAAAGTGGTTATGGTAGGGGTGTTCTAAATCATAATGCCGTAGGTAAAAACAACTATAATTGGAATGGCCCTAAAATAACAACATAATATACTCAACGGTGGTTGCTAAAAGTGGTAATAAAGCTAAAAATATCAAATATCATTAAAATCTTAATAATAAATCACAGCAATAGAAACTCCCATTGCGTGTGGTCTGGCTGTTCGTTAGTTTATTCGGTTCAATAAAAGGGAATAAATAGGGCAGAAATGCGCGAACGGCATACGAACAAAGGGCACTGATAGCCCCAAAACAGGGGTTTTGTCACATAACCCATTACAGTAATCTGTAGATATCAAAACCTGGACAGTATACAGCTATAAATGTGTGCAGATACCATAACATTAAAATTATGCATGTATATAATCTGTACAGTGTGTGCAGATACCATAACCTAGACAGAAAGCAGCTGATTTCTGTACAGGGTGCAGATCGTCTCTATTACCCAGTTTAGGGGTAATATTACACTGCATTATCCCGTTTTGAGGTAGAATTACACTTTATTACTCAGTTTCTGTGATTTCAGATGAGATTATAAAATACAAGCTGTACTCTGCTTTAATGCCCATAACAAAACTGGTGTACATTCTCCATATCCTAGGATACTGGATGCATATCCATGGTAACTGGACGTGAGGTAGATATACCATGCCCTGTATCCTGCCAGTGATCATCTCAATATATTTGGGTGCATTGTGACTATAGCTTCTCAATGAATGATCTACGTAAACTATTCTGTGACATGGTGACCAAGGTTAATTGGAACAATAATTATTTGGCTGCTGTCTTTTATAACCGTCTGTCAAAGAGACTCAAAGATGAACTGGGAGCAAGAGACTTTCCCACAGATCTAGAGACATGTTATGACCATGTGGGTCATATTGAGCTTTGGTTGCATAAGAGAGTATCACCAGCACCCTATTGGTGTTTGACTCCCCAATACTAAAGGAATCCTAAAGGAATTTCTGTCGACCAGTAAGCTACTTTTGTAGCTTACTACAGTACATCACCATCTGGTGCTCTATTAGTGGCATGTGCTGTGCCAGCTGAGCGTGATGGGAGTTGCTGTACACGTAGGCCCTGAAAATAAAACCCACCCCTGACTAGACTGCTCTGATAGACCTCCCACAATGCTGAGTCAGCCATATATCTAGCAGGTCATAGTTATAAGCCTTCTCTTGGCCTGTGTGCTGGGAGGCTGCACCGTGCTGCCGGTGGAGCGCACTTACACCCACATACACATGACGTCATGGCCGCGAGCTCCAGGGCAACGCTGCAGCCAGAAGCTGCTCACAAAGCAGGGGAGTTGGGAGGAGAGGTACTGGCAGCACCGAGCACAGCACCGGACACACACACACACATATGCACCGGCAGCACACGGCTAGCTATATAACACCGGGTGTCAGACATTGCAGAGATCTGTATACATTGTGTGATTGGAGGGAAGGAGGGAGGTACTGTAACCGTATATGACACTCAGGGGAGGATAAGGACCTACCAACCGACCTGGAGACCTACCCACTAACCTGTTATGTTATACACATACACAATGACACACTGTGGGGGAAGGGTTAGGGGGTGTAATTTTCGGCAGATTTAACACATTTTCGGATGAAAATTTCAGCAGCCGAAATATTGGTGCATCCCTAATGCATAGGGATTTTGGATAGTGCACAAGTAACTTTTTTATTTGTTTTTTATTGTGTGTATTGGGGCTTTTGTGTACTATGGTCATTGCTGTTGCCCAGGAGTAGATGCCAAAATGGCCCCAGACCTGGGAATATGATTAGTCTTGTTAGGTATCCTTTGGCAGCAGTGTATGCATCATTACATTGTTAATTTCCCTACCAGGTGCCTCTGCTGGCTGCCACACTTTTCTCAGGCTCCTGGCCTCTCCAGGAATTAACTTAATTTTAATATTGACTCCACATATCACACAACTAGATTTACCAAAATAGAAAGTATAACATTACTAAACTGAGAGATATTTCATTGCAGCTCAGCATAATAAATACGTATATGTCTAGTACAAAGATAGTTCAAATTTAAGGCAATACACTTGTTCCAAACAAAAACATATAGAAAAAAAATATATGAACATTCAGATTTAATTTCTTTTTTTTTTTTCAATGTGTTTTATTTAAGCATATTTTTCATCATCGTATAAAAACAGAATACGAGCCAAAACAAGGGGTACAGAAGAAAAAGGAGAAGAAAGGGGGAGAGAAAGCAGCTTATATAGGTTTCCACATACCATTCAGTGCAGTACAATGTAATACAATACGGTATATCAAACAATCCGTGGTATTAGGTCAATGTCGGCAAGACAGTTAACAGTTGTACAACATATTACATATTAGTGATGGATAAACACGAAAACATCCTGGTGTCATAGTTGGTGTGCAGGTAGACGGACCCAAAGAGTAGGGGGGGGGAAAACCCGGATGGAATTAGTGGCCGGTCTGCGGCCCCTGGTGCAACTCTCCCTCCCTGTAATTCACCCAGCTCTGCCATCGTGATTTATACCTACTTTGGCTGTTGGTCAGCCGGCTAGCCATGCGCTCGTAAGCATGAGTTGAGTCCAGCCTGCCTAGGATTTCTGGCAACGTTGGTGTCAGTGGTGATTTCCATCTATGTGCAATGGCAGTTTTGGTAGCCATTAGACAGTGAATCGCGAAGGAAATCGTTTCCATAGGGAGGGTAGTCGGGAAGATATGTAATAGAAAGCATTCTGGGGACTGGGGTATTCGCACACCCAGAATTTTATGAAGAAGAGCATGTATATCCCGCCATAGCGTGATGATAGATGTGCAGGTCCAATATATATGGAAGAGGGACCCTTCGCTATTGTGACATCTCCAACATCGGGCGTCAGATCCCGGATAGATATGGGCCAATTTAGTAGGGACTAGATACCAACGCATTGTTAATTTACAGTATGTTTCCCATTGGTTAAGGCTATGGGAAGCCTGTTTAGTTAATCTTTGGGCGCGATGCCATATTTCAGTAGAGAAATGTATTCCTAGGTCTGATTCCCATTTAGACATATACGATGGTTTGGTCAGATTATTGTGGAGCAATAGTGTGTTGTAACAAAGGGATAGTGCTTTAGTTTTTGGAAGTTTGCCCATGCATTTGTGGATGAAAGGCGGTGTGGAATCGGGTTCCCCCAGGCTAATCCCGCTTTCCTGAATTATATTTTTTATTCTGAGGTAGGAGAATAGTTCTCGTGGAGGGATATGAAATTCCCTGATTAGGTCTGGGAAGGGCTTAATGCCGTCAGCGGACAATAGGGAACGGACTTGGGTGATCCCCTGTTTAAGCCAGTTGTCTAATTGTATGTTTGAGGTTCTTGTAGCCAGGGCCTGGAGTGGGGCTGCTAGGAGCAGGTGGCTATTTCTGAATCTATTGGTTGATGTAAGGTCCTGTCCTGTGTAAGGTTATACAATCCCTTATAAAAATTTGCCAGTTCGTCTACTATATCTTGTGGATTGAATAGTTTTGACCCAGTGGATGAAGTCATATACGGAAGTTTAGATTGTATGTATCGGGATTTTAGCCGTTTTGCAAGCCTGCCTTGTTCCCTTGCATATAATAGGCGAGCTTTAACTTGCGGAGCTGCCGTTCCACACCTATCAGGGATAGTTCGAGTAGTCTTTCCCTTAACTTTTTGATATTTTTGTCTAATTGTATGTTTGAGGTTCTTGTAGCCAGGGCCTGGAGTGGGGCTGCTAGGAGCAGGTCGTTGTTTTGTAAGAATAGCGGTGTAGTATGCTTCCAGTTATGAAGGAGCGCGACTGTGGTGGGCAGCAAGGACGTGGCTTTGGGGAGTTTTGACCCTGCCTCTGAATCTATTGGTTGATGTAAGGTCCTGTCCTGTGTAAGGTTATATAATCCCTTATAAAAATTTGCCAGTTCGTCTACTATATCTTGTGGATTGAATAGTTTTGACCCAGTGGATGAAGTCATATACGGAAGTTTAGATTGTATGTATCGGGATTTTAGCCGTTTTGCAAGCAGTTTGCCTGCCTTGTTCCCTTGCATATAATAGGCGAGCTTTAACTTGCGGAGCTGCCGTTCCACACCTATCAGGGATAGTTCGAGTAGTCTTTCCCTTAACTTTTCGATATTTTGGGATAGATTTTTAGTTGGTTTGAGTTTATTAATTTGTTCTAATGATTTAAGTTGAGAGAGCAGACTATCTGACTCAGTGTAGGTTTTCTTTTTGTTTATTGCGCCCGCCTGAATTAATAGGCCTCTTAGTACGGCTTTTAGGGCCAACCATTTAGTGTCTATGCGGGTGTGGTCGGATCGGTGGATTTCGAAAAACGATGCTATGCTATCCCGAATTTTTTCTCGTTGTCTACGAGGGATTCGTTTAGGCGCCAAGCACTGCGCCCCCGTGACGGGAACAAGGCCCTAAATGTAGTGGTTACCGGCGCGTGATCTGACCATGTCCGGTCACCTATTTGCACCTCTATTATGTTGGGTACCGTATTTTTGTCTACCCAGCACATATCTATACGAGAGTATGTGTGGTGGACACGTGAGAAATATGTGTAATTTTTTTCTCTCGGATAAAGGGTGTGCCACGAATCATAAAGATCGTGCGTATGGAGCAGTGTGCTAAGGGTTGCGCTCATTATGTTAGCGTGTTGGAGAGGTTGTTTGTCTGCTATGCGCTTAATATCTAGTTCGGGGTCTAACGTGCAGTTGAGATCGCCACAGATAATAGTGTGTCCCACACGGATACTAGAAATTTTATTTAGCGCTCTTCTAATGAAGGAAATTTGGGAGTTGTTAGGTGCATATATGGAAGCGATCGTAAGTTGCATTCCGTTCAATGAACCTACTACTATGAGAAGCTTGCCCAACTCGTCTACATAGGTGTTATCAAGATGGAAGACCCAATCAACATGGAACAGTATTGCCACCCCTTTTGTTTTGTTTGGGGCAAGGGCATGGAATACCTGCTGATATCTAGATGAACTCAACTTGGGGGGGTTTCTTTTGCACATGTGTGTTTCTTGGAGGCAAACTATAGCAGCCTGGGATGTATGAATGGTTTTAATCACAGAGCTCCTTTTAAATGGGCTATTTAGGCCGTTAACGTTCATAGATAAGCATTTAAATTGGTACATCATCTTAAAGGGACATAAAGTAGAGCCTATTAGTTAATGCATACTGCCTGCCAGCGACAGGTATGAGTCCTGTGGTGAGCTGGTGCTTAGTGTGGAATAAGGTAAGTTCAGATGTCTGGTTGCTTTCTGCACAGATAGGGATCAGTGCAACTGCCAAGGGGATGGGAAGGGAAATAACAGGGAAGTCATAATCAACAAACAGAAGTATATACATTAACTCTCTGAGATGAGAGAAGAAAATGGGATCCGGAGGGGAGCCTAGAGCTCCAAGCACCTCGAATACCCTTTGGGGGGTCGTGCGGAACAGGACCGCACCCGGACCAGATTCTCAAAGTAGGCAGGATTGGGGAGGATAAGATGCGCGGGGGGGCTTGAGCCTGGACAGCACTCTCTCCTGTGCCTTCTATAAGTCCTTAAGGCGATGTAAGGAGATAGGGGCAGTGGGTTTACGTTGTCGCAACTGGGAATACTTTAACTAGCTTGTTTTTTTTGTTGTTTTTTTGTTTTGTTTTTTTGTTTTGTTTTTTTTCCTCCCCTCTGCCATACTAATCATGAGCTCTAATATGTCTAAGGACTTTAGTCTGAACCCTCAGAAGGCGACTCATTGGCTACGTGTGTGCGTAACGCTCTGTGGAGAGGGGGGGGGCCTAGCGTGTGGCATAAGCCAGCTGGGGACAGTCCAGGGGTGAGTGGCTAATGTCCATATCGGGCGAGGATATCAACAGTCATTTAGGATGTCTTCTTGCGACTTCGTGGAATACACCGAAGAGTAGAGCCAGGGAGATGCTGTCCTAGACGGGGTAGTCATTAGCGCCGTGCGCCAACCATCTGCCAGTCAGGTTGGGACCTCTTCGGGGTGGTCGAGGTATCCGGTATCTTGCGAGCCCCATAGGCCCCAGTGTTTCAGCGTGATTAGACCTTTTAGTGGGTCATCTATAATGTGGAGCTTGTTCTGCCGCCAAATCAGTAGTTTCGTGGGGAACCCCCAGCGGTAAGCCTGGTCGTGATTGCGTAAAGTTTTGGTGATGGAGGAGAATTCTTTACGTCTCGCCATAGTAAGGGCCGAGAGGTCCGCAAAGACAGAGACAGCATTATATGGGTCGGGCAACGGAGATTGGGCTCTAGCGGCCTTAAGAAGAGCCTCCTTAGCTTTATAGTAATGGAAGCGCACGATGATGTCGCGCGGAACTTCCGCACCGAATCTGGATGGTTTCGGAATCCGGTGGGCTCTGTCTAATTCCCAGGTAATACCGGAGAGGTCAGGGACCAGAGTGGCACTTAATGTGGTAATGTAGGCCGGGATCTGGTCTGCCGCAATGGACTCCGCTACCCCTCGGAACCGCAGATACCAAGTGATTTTAGGGTAACCACTAGCGAGGGACTGAGGTAATGTAGGCCGGGATCTGGTCTGCCGCAATGGACTCCGCTACCCCTCGGAACCGCACGTTGGCATCCGCTCCCGCCGGAACAACGTGCGGTTCCGAGGGGTAGCGGAGTCCATTGCGGCAGACCAGATCCCGGCCTACATTACCTCAGTCCCTCGCTAGTGGTTACCCTAAAATCACTTGGCATCTTTAAAGGGACTGACAGGGGCTGACGTGGAGGAAAATCAAAACTTCTATATCCTGACACTATCACAGTTGCTCCACCACCCTGTCTACCTGCAAGCCCAATTGAAGTGATTCAACCTAGACGTCACAAAAAACACACTATCAAATCAAGGAAACCTCTTTGTGTGATCCCCATTAGAAGACACATTGTTTCCAAAGAACACAGCTAAAACTCGGAATCCCAATACTGTCCTATCAAATAAATCCTGTGTCATGCCAGATCAATAAGGAACAAAACAGCTATTATTGCTGACCTTATTGAAACATGCAAATTAGAGTGCATTACAGAATCATGGCTAAATGCCTATTCTAGAACAGTGTTCCCCAACCCAGTCCTCTGTTCTTGTCACCAACAGTCCAGTTTTTGTCAGTATCTCCATCGGAACAAAACAGGGAAATGCATAAATCCTCGACTGTTGGTGGTCTCTGAGGACTGGGTTGGGGAACACTGTTCCAGAGGCAGCTATTTTAGGCAATTACCGTACACGGTGTTTCACCGCCCGAGACAAGATCCCAAGGGAGGTGGAGTTATGATCTGTGTGAAATCATCCTTAAATCCCAGACCAATATCAGGCCACAAACCCCAATCTTTTGAATGCGTGGCTGCCAGCCTCTCAATAAAGAGAGGATTCCGGATACTGTTTATGACGGACCCTCCGTCAATCGATGCTTACCAAGGACTATCAACACCGCACTTGACACCATAAGCACTGCTGACCTCACGAACAGCTGCAGCTTGGTTGGGGTCTCGCCGTCTCCTACCCACCCTGGACCTACGACAAGGCTCCAGGCTCCAGGCTCCAGTGGGTGAACCTCTCTTCCTTCAGAGAGTGAAGCAGGAACAAGTTCTTAAAAGACCTTGGTGATTATAGCCAGGGGAGTATACAGCGTATAGCAATCCCCCAGTGTAGATGCAGCCTTTTCCCCCACACATGAGCCGAGGCTCTATGTTGAGGCTAAAACAGGAACTCGGCAGATCTGAGGGTTTATTGAACAGCTTGGTCTTTTATACAGTTTTTCTCACAAGGTTACCACCCAGGTGGACCTTGTGGGGCACAGGGACACAGGAACAACAAGCCAATAAAAACATAGTATTACATTCAGCCACTCCCATGCAGTGTACACAATCCCTCCACCTGTGATATCATTAATGAAGACAATGGACTAACTCAATTAACTCTAAGCTGAAAAAAACTAATTTTTACAAACCCCAAAAAGTACCCCAAAATACAACAAACCCCCACATCCCTTGATAGCCCTGATCTGGGTGAACAACATATCCAAAAATTACCCAGATTGGTTCGGGGGTTCAGAAATTTCCTGGAAGTCTTACTTTTGCCCCACCGTGCACATGGTCCCATGCCCAAAACAGTTCCATACACTTGACAACATAACACTGCTTGACAATTTAAGATGGCCACCGCCACATGTTTGAATCTGTTCCAGGTAAAAGTCCAAGGGGCAGAAGCAGTACTTTTAAACATGGGTTATCACAGGGCTCATAGTCCCAGGGTAGAAGGCTGACAAACATGCCCCTCCAAAAACCAGTGGCGAAGTTGCTTTCATCACACTGTTAATGTACAGACCCCCAGGAGATGGGAAGAGATTTCTTCAGGAACTCTCAGACCTTTTGGCTGGCTTAATCCTTAAACACCCCAGATGGCTTATATTGGGAGAATTCAACATTTGGATTGATGACACCCTATCCCTGCTTGAGCAGGATCTCCTCAGCTTCATGAGTGCACTCTGCTTCACACAAATCGTTGCCACTTCCACCCACAGAAAAGGTCATACACTTGATCTAGTGTACCAGTCTGGACTAGAAGTGTCACCAGTAACTGTAAATCTAGTTGTTTGGTCAGACCACCACTCCATTCACTTCTCCATTGTATCACAATCATTCAGACCCCAGCCTCAGAACCTGGTCATACACTGCTCATTAAAAGGAGTGACGCCATTGAATGTAACATCACATATTATTATTATTTTATTATTTATATAGCGCCAACAAATTCCGTAGCGCTGTACAATATGGATCTAAGTGAACTAATGGGCACCTGTGAAGACCCTAGCTCCTTAGTTCGACTCTACAACAAAACTATTACGGTTGTCTCAGGCTAGCTGAGGGTTGGACCACTTGGATGTCCTTGTCCCCGCTCCTGGAGAGCGGTAGAAATTCAGCAACTAGCGATCTTCCTGCAAGTGTAAAGTATCCCTGGAGCTCTGATCAGAGCTAGTGATCAGCATTTCCCAAGTCGAGGCTGCAAATTGAGGGTAAGAAGTCTGGTTTATTGAACGAAAAGGCATTGCTTATATACAAATTTTCAGGCCAGAGGCACACCCCTCTGGACCTGATGGAACAGTTTTACAAGGGATAATAACCAATAGTAACAAAGTGCATTTTTTCAAACCCTCCCCTCTATCCTGCAGATAATTAGCTTAAATGGTTACAGTAACTTAATTATCTCCAGGTACAGGCAATATTCTGGTTTTGAAATTACACAAAAAAAACACAAAAATCCATAACTCAGGGGATGGGCCGGACCACCGATGGGATCAGACGTGCTCTGTCTGAGCTCCCCGCTTCAGGACCGGAAAATCGGCGCAAACTGGAGGCTAAACCTAACCAGCAACCCACACCGGAGACCAAACTGATTCCCAGATGCTGGGGTACGAGGGGATTCCCTTCAAGACCCTGCCTGGCACCTACAGTAACCCGACAAGGGCCCGAGGCGTGCAGGAGCTTGAGCCAGGATGAGACGGCCGCTCTACCGGGTCTCCAGCTGGTGTCATCCCGGTCTACACGGGCACCTACTATTGCGCCAAACTGGGCCGAAAACAACCACCCTGCTGTGAAACACTCTCCGTCAGCACCCCTCAAAATGGCCGCCCCACGTCAGCCACATGTGCGACCTTCCAGCAGGATTGAGAGCTGATCGCAGAGGAGACCATCCAGCACCATCTGACCACCACAATAGCCTGCCCCAGGGCTATGTTGGCTGACTACACTGGGCTCACCAAGGTGCTGCTTACAACATATTTTTGAAACAAAAAAAACTTTTTTACCAGTGGAAAACACCATCACTCTCCTGAGGACCATCTTATTCCTCCTGGAGGCGACTACTGTGGCTGCACCTGCATCCAGGCTTCTCCTGTGAGGCCCAATGCGACAAGGGGAATCTTTTCCCAG